CGCAAAAGCCATGATGAAGGGCTGCCGGTTCTCTGCTTGAGCGGCTGCTACCTCCAGAGCTACCAGGGTCCCAAGTCCCCAGGACGACGCCACTGATCCAAGTCACACGGGAGACACCGTGGCCTCGGCTGGAAAAGCAGAGCTGGGCTTGGGCACCAACTGCCCCCGAGGTTGTTTCCCAGCCTCACGGCAACGTGCTGGGAACAAAGTGCACCTACGTGGTACAGCAGCCCAGCCGGCTGCGCATCGGCCATTAAGTTCTCTCTGCAGAAAAGGTCTCCCAAGCAGCAACCCCCCCTCTTTTTTTTTTTTTTTTTTTTTAAAAAAAACAACAATTGCTCTCACCCCTCTTTTTTGGTAGACACACATACATACACACACTATAGGTACACAATTTGGAACCGAGGATCTAGACAATGAAAAGGGAGCCAGCACCGCTCAGAGATGGTGCACACATTCAGCAGCTGTCAAAGGAGAAGTCGTTTTACTTTCTTTTAAACTTGCAATGTTTGTCTTTATTTTGTTCTTTATATTTTGAAAGTGAAAAGAAATAGTATTGAGTCAATTTCTTTTTTTCTTTTTTTAAATATTTGTTCTATGTATTTACAAGCCTTAAAGTTGCTCTAAAGGTTCTGAAAGTATCACTAGTACTTTTTCCCCAGGGTAGCACTGTTTTGAATGAGTTATTTTCGGAGCACTCTGGTCCGCAGCGGTTTTCTCAAATGCATTTCCTTCCGTTCCAAGGTTATGTACGTTTTGATTACTATTTTCTTTTTAAATTTCTGAAGCAAGCTGAGAGGCAGGCAGAAAAATCTGATGACAATTAAAAAAAAAAAAAATCTGATCTCTTCCTCATCTAGCTTACCCCAACCCCCTTGAAAGTTTTGTCTACTTATCATGCTTTGAAACAAAACTGAGGTGCATATGAAGGGGAGGGAAATTTATTTCTCTGCTTTTGTTCTATTATACAATTTGTTTACAGAAACTGCAAATTTAAAAATTACACTGGCATTTGCAGTCCTTAAAATAATAAATTAAAAGTTTTCAACTTTTTTTTTTGCTAAACAGATTTGTTTCGCTTTGTTTTCGTAAGTGAGTCCTTGTTTAAAAAGAAAAGAAAAAAAAAGATTAAAACAGAAAATATTTTCTATAAATAATACATGTATTTTGGTTTAGTGCTCCCGCCCTCAGGTTTGAAGTTTACTTTTTTTTTTCAAGTACCTTTTCTCCTCCATGATCACCTTTGTGTTTATCTATTTTTACCTCTCCCACTCGTGCATGTGTGGGGGAAGGGGGGTCTGCGCGAGAATTGGCCTTGCTGCACTGTGATTGGCGAAGACGTGAAACTCTTTAAAAAAATACTTAAATTGTTTTTTTTTTTGTTTTTTTGTTTGTTTTTTTTTTGTTTGTTTTGTTTTTTTTTCCTCTCTCTCTCTGTATTTTAAGTTTTAATTATCCTCCGACTCCTCTTCGGCTTCCCGTAGCCACGTGAAGAATGCTGTGACAGATTTTAGCGCTACTCCTTTCCCGTTCTGCTCTGCTGGGTCCTTGCTGCTCTCCCACTTGTAGAAGGCATCCTCTGATATCACCTCCTCATCGTACAGGCAATCAAAAAACATCCGCAACAAATCTACAATAATGGAGTAGCGGGAGAGAACAGCTGTTAGTACTGCGCAGTTGAAGTCTGCGGACAAAGACTTGGTTACGGATAAGGGGTTTAACGTGACCTTTGATGCACGAGATGCAGATACAAGTAAAAGTAAGGTCTGTTACTGAGTTATTGCTTCCTGGCTGGTTACACACAGCTGAGGGGGAAAATAGGTCCCTCTGATGCTTGTCGGATAACACAAGCTCTGCAGAAAAGGGAAAGCTGGGAAAGCAGCCGTGGGAATGTATTATCTAGGGATTGGCCAGCAAACAGAATCCACAACAGCCCATCCTCCCCTCTCTGGACCCTGCAACCTGGCTCCTCTCCCTCTGATTTTTCGCACTCAGCAGGAGGGATAACAAACAACTAATGCCTTACAGCTAAGGATGATCAAGTTGGGTGTTTTTGGGCATTCTTTGATTTTGTGCTGCAGACTGTTTCTTTGGCAACTCCCCAGCTTCTTTTCCAGCATCAGTTTTCTGCAGTGTCTCTGGGACAAGACTCATCCAATTCACTTTATGCCCTCCAAGTCCACAGACATCTGTGGTGCAGCAACGCAATTACAATGCCCAGTGCTCTCACATGTCCAGGTATTGTAAACTTAACAGATTATTTTTTACTGCTCTTTTTCCCCCCTCTTCTTTTTGCATCACAGAGGTTTGTCTTTCCTTCTGCATAGCTGCTTACAGCAGCAACCAAGAGAAGCGCCGACCTTTGGCCAAGCATCTGGGGAACTGCGCTGCTCTACAAGCCAGAATATGGACAAGCAGAAACCACTGTACACTGTTTTCTCTCATCTGCTACGTAAAATGCTAAGGAATGTCAGGAAAGCACATCCTCTTCCAGACTCTACTGCTAGGTATTGCTCTCGCAGAAACAACTTTTCCTTAGGCTACCAGGGTTCCCGTCCCCAGCGCAGAGGCAATACTTACTAGGAGGCTGATCAAGTTTTACTATTGATGCTTGTAGTGCATAAAGTGCTTGTAGTTCCTTCTCTGTGTCCGAGTCTAGGTACTTGAGTAAGATCGGCACTCTCTGCTTGATAACAGCAGTGTCCACACGGAAGCTAGAAGAGTCCGCTGAAGGGAAGAGAAGAAAATAGTCAGCTGTGGTACATGGCAGCAGGGGCGGATCTTTTATCGCATTTATCCCAATAGAAATCACAGATACAGGTTAGTGGGGAGAGAAAAAGAGATGAGAAACAATAGGAAGTATTTCTGATCCATGGCTTTTTCTGGAAGTCTTGATCCTTCTAGTTCCCCAAATTCAACCAGTATCGGCAGTGACCCTGGCCCCAGCCAGCCTGCTGACACATGCCTTACTTTGCAGTGCAAATTGTTGTGTTTCCACAGGCAACTGGATGTCCAAAGTGCATACAATGGCTAGGGCTAAAATTTCAGTTAGAGAGAGGGTTTTTAGAAAAGTATTTCTTCCCCCCCCAAATACTAGGGCTGAAACAGAATCATAAGCTGCACATGAAATAGGAAATCAGGCATATATAAAAATACACATTAGAAGTCCATCAGCAACATAGATAAATTATTCAGCAGCTTTTAAGTAGCCTGTACAACACAATTAACCGATATTTTGAGAACAAGAGGGAAAACCTCTCAATTGGAGGCAAGGTCAAAACATAAAACAGAACAAGATGTTCTTGATACACATCAGGGAGCCCTTAAACATTTGTCATCAAATCCTGTGTCATTTCGCCATTAACACTAGGTGGCATCAGAAAGGTTCTGTGCTGGGGAGAAGAAAGGAGCTGGGCTGTCTTTCCCCTGGCAACACGATGAAGTTCAGACCATTCTCTCCACCGAGCGTGACTCTTACAGCTAAGAGCAGAACCGGCTGCTTGACAAGCACAATTTTTTTGCCTTGCCAGATGCCAACAGTAAAGTTAAAGAAAACAAAGTGAACTGACCAGATGTTTCTGGCTGCAGCGCTTTATTCAAGCCCCCCTGAGGGTCTGAGGCTCAGATGTCTGACTTGGGAACCCACCCTTTCCTCCATTTCCAGCTGACTGCCGTACATTCAAGTAATCCATATAAACCATCTTTCCAAAATTGCAGCTTTGGACATAAAACTATTAACAAGACAGGGATGCAGGCTGGCTTCTCTTCTGCAACCCATGCTTCCAACTCGCATGTGGCAAGCTGCGATGGTAGAGCACCCACGCATACTTGCTGACACAAAAGTGGAAATGCTAATTAGCTTAATAACGTCTAGCGCAGTTCCACCTTCGCTAGAAAAAATACCAATGAACAACCTGGCATTACTTAGAGTCGTCTGAAACATCTGCTCACGCAAGGTCACTGGGACACGCCAGAACCTCAACAAGACCACAACCAGCAAAACACCTGGCTGTCACAGGGGGAATGGACATCCCGCTCTCAAGTGCTAGAGGATTCAACACAGTGCAAAAGTCCTAGCATGTGATAAAAAACAGCCTCAAGGGGGAGGGAAAAGCGATATAAAGCTGAAAAACATGAAATAATCCTTTGCACGTTTGGTTTGTATGGTGTTTACATTGCAAGTTACTCACCTATAATAGCTGCTTTACAAACTGCTGTCATTAAAGCTCTAAGGAATGTAGGTGAACTCATCTGGCTTTCATCTAGATTAGCCTGAAATCAAGAGTAAATGGACCAGTTAAAAACACGCTGCTACGTGAGAGTGACCTCTTTCAAACTCCACTTACTGCATTTGGCAGCAAGTTCAAGTTCACCGAAAGCTGCAGCAGTTGAAATCCAGTTCACCCCTCTGCAAAAACTCAGCTTTCCCATTCATTTCTTGCAACTGGCTCAGGTACGTCAACACGCAACAACGTGATCTCAGGTAATCACTACATGATTTAACTACTCCCATAACTGGTCATTTGTCTCGAGAAACAAACCAACCCAACAATGCTTGGCTTTTACAATGCCCTTAATACATTTTCTAAGAGTTTTAGGCTTTTTCAACAAATTTTACAGCATGCTCCTTGGGTGGAGATTTGTTTGCTTTGTAGAAGAAATTCAGAGAATGGCTATGAAACTTGTCCAAGACTACAAAGAGCTTGTGGGTGTCCCCAGATTTTCAGTGCCACTTTCATTCCACTCTTGACTTCTCTAACGGCAGTAGAAAAATGACGTTTCTAACACATTGCTCCAGCAATAGAAATAACTGAAATGAAGCTGACCAAGGTTTAGCTGTAAGCACAGATCTAAATGAATCAGGTTGGCTATAATTTCGGACACTAGATTAAATATCAGGCTTAAAGGATGCAGCCAGAGATAGCGGGCAAAAGATCAAGATCAGTGGGTTGACAGGGCTGCTTCCTGCCCCCCCCCCTTTTTTTTTTCTTTTTTCTTTTTTTTTTTTCTTTTACAGTTACTGGTCCAATGCACTGGGAAAAGGTACATGTGCCCTCAGTGACTGCCCAGCGTGGCAGGGGGAATTTGGCAGGTCATGTTGCAAAAAGCAATGAGAGAAGCTTCTATCTCATATTTTAGGAAGGAAGAATGTAGCGGTGTACTCTGTCTAAAATGTAGTAAGGAGCCAGAAGCAGTGTTTTCAGAGTCAAAAAGTCTACAGTATTTAAAGGCAGTTACACAGTTGTATGTAAACATAGCTAAAATCCTTTCTTCCTAAAGCTTTCTATGAAATAACGGACTGATAATATTTTAGATTTTAATCCTCTGGAAGTGTTGGTTGCACAGACCTAATCATCTCCATGTCCTGTGCCTAGGGAGGAGCCTGCAGAGATGCTCCTTCAGATAAGAAAATATTTACAAGAGCAGTTAACAAACTCTGTGCAGGGAGGGTGAAAGTAGTCTTTGTACCTCTACCCAGTCAAAGATTTGTTCATCATTCGCCTTGTCCTCAACAATGAGTTTTTCTAGCTGCTTGTTCAGCTCGTCCGCAGAGAGTTCTTTCTCTGAAAGTGCTTCTGAGGAACTGGAACAGTCGGACTCTGTGAAGTCCAACTTCTGCAACATCAGAAGCAATGATGAGAATTAGTTAAATATACTTTCCTATGCTGAATTATACCAAATTGAGGCAGCAAGCTACACTCCATTCTGCCTTCTGGCATCTTTCAACTGCTAAGTTATCATTACAACGATTTATATACTTTCTCTGTTCCAAAGATTAATAAAGCATTTTACAAACACATGGGAACAACATTATCCAGCAAAGACAACCAGGCATCTCAGGGCAACTCCAACCCTGCACAATACGAGCGTGCACAAAATAAAGTGCATGTTGCTCAACTAAAACGACGGGGAGCTGGAATGCAATTACCAGAGCTGGCGTTCGCTCAAAGAAATTGCAGCTAACGCCCCAATTCATTGCAAAATGTGACAGAGGATCTACAGTCCCCTCACCAAGCCCCAGGCCTCGGTAATCCATTTCATTTCCTGCAGCGCAGCACTCGCTGCTGAAACAGGGCAGCGGATCACTTGTAGCTCCAAAGAGAGACATCCAGCTTCTTCCTTAGCAGAACCACCAGCCGGAGCTGCAAAGTGCCCTCCATCAGTCCTGGCTCTGCTTGGCTGTGAAACCCTCCGGGATCATAATGCAAGGTGGGTCGAGTGAGTAATTGCTGCCATTTATTATGGCCCTTCTGCAGATTGTCTGTCTTTGCTGCAAAACTCATTTTTGAGTTCATTCCCCTCAGCTGGAGAAATAGATCTCCTAGAGGGAGCCAGCTGATGGGAGATGTGTGCCTGGGATTGGAGGGGAAAGGCCCGACATTTTAGAAAGGAGGTGCTGAAATAATCTAACCCCAAGTTGGCAGGGGAGACACTTCACCCCGCATCCCGTACCAAAACTATACGCAAGAATGGCATGGAAGAGGATGAACAAACGGGACGCGGGGCCAAAAATCAGTGTGCCAAAATCATTAAGCAAATGCTTCCTCTGAACTCACTTGTTCCATGAGAAAGGTATGTACATCCTCCCCTTCGGGTAAGTAGTCCTTCCAACTGAGGCCAGTCTCCCTCCACAAGGCTCCCACTTTCTTATGGCTCTAAAACACAAACAATTGGGTCATTTTAAAGACTTGAGAGACGACCGGGGAGCTTACACAAGCCGGAGAGGTGCAGCTGTGTCAGGAGAAATAAAGAACCATTCAGCCACCAAACAAGACGCCTAGCAATGAAGTGAAAAGGTCTGGAAATCCCGTGCAAGAGAAATCATATATGCAATCCTGCCACAGGTATACACATCTTGTCAAGGGGTCAAACGCCATGGTGATGGGTAAGAAACAAGGCAGAACGTGACACGTGGGGTTTGCAACTTCAGCCAGAGATTACCTACGAAAAGTGACACATCTGAGCCAGGCACAGTTTCCCACGGCTGTGACACAGACCTGGCAGTGAGATGACTTAAGATTCTTCTCCTGACTCTGTCATTAACTTACTCCGTGACTCATTCTCTCCCTGCCTTGACATTAAGGCACCCGCAAATTAGGTACTTGCAGAAAATAATTATTTACTGGCTGTTTTCTGTGCAGCGATCAAGCCTCAAATTCAGGTAGATAATACCAACTTCACTCTTCACTTCCTAGAATTTATTGCAAAACTTAAGAAAAGCTCCTTTGCCGCACGTACAGTTCAACCTTCCCTCTAATGTCACGCTGACCTTTCGGTACCCTAAGATGACATTATGTGCAATTCTGACGAGAATAAAAATGCTAGTAACAGCCAGCTCTCTTCACCCAAATGCTTTGCCAAAACTTTTACCGTATAGCACCTGCACAAGGGAGAGCATAGCCTAAATTAAGCACTGATAAAAGCAGCCTGATTTTCAGTTTACAAAGCAGATTACAATTTTAAGTTTACAATGCAGATCATTAAGAGCTAATTGTGCTTAGTTCCTGCTACACTTCATCAGGATCTGAATTAGATGACTGATACTACATTGAAATATGCGAGTCCAAGTATTGGCCTGGACGAGATTGAATTAGAAAGCTGTGGCAGAAAGAGAAACCCAAGTCTGTGCTTCAACCCCCAGAGCACAGCAGCCTTTCTTTCATAGAACAGAGAAAAATAAATGGAAGCTGACTGTCCGCACAAGCATAAGACTAAAATAAATAAATAAAGAGTCACTATTTGCACTGCTAGACTGAAATGCTCTTGGAACAATCAACCTTATTTGAATGCATGCTTTAAAAAAAAAAAAAAAAGAAGAAAAAAATAAAGGGGGGGCAAGTGAGGGATTTTATACAGGGTTTAAAATAGACACTATCCAAAGTGCAGTATTCAGCTTGATTAAAAAGAAAAAAAAGACAAAAAA